ATATATATATATATATAAATTAGTGGGAAATACTGCAGCGGTGGGTGGGAAAAATAAAGTATAATCAACCGAAACTTTCACGACCCCAGTGCAGTGTCTACGTGGACCCCCTAGGGGTCACGGACCCCCTGTTTAAGACCTCTGCCCTAAAGCCTCAGTGCTAAAGTTTAGCTGTATTTAGTCCCTTAATGCTGCAGCAGCCAAAGCAGACCCATATGATGTCAGAAAGTTCGACCATTTTCTTGCTCATCATAAATAAAGTTTTCTGCTTCTTTTTCCAGTCAGCCCAGCGGATCTGCTACATTGGCCACTAATGGGGCATCCGCCACCATGGAAGTGGGTCTAACTAGAACTGCTGATGGACGACTAGAAGCCGCCATGAGGAACTGCAAGGTTTCAACCGACCAACTTCAGATTGTTGGAACGGGTTTACCCAGGTAACTGACTCCTGGACTAATTCAGCCATTCTGGGTCTGTAGATGTACTGAAACTTTGTTTTTCTTCAGGATCGCTGAGGGGGCATTGGAAAAACTTTTAATCTACCTGGTTTGTATCTTTATTCTGTTTATTGATGCCACAGCTTAGTGACCAGAAATCATAGAACTAAAACTTAATGTTTATTGAATAGCGGAAAGGTGAAAAGGACTCTCTCTTCTAACAGGTCTGCACTCTAATCAATCAAAAAGGCATATCTGCGCTCAACAGCTACCTGAGCACAGCTCCAATGGTAGCAGACGTCTTCCCAGACCTTGGCATCAAGCTTGACTATTCCCTAACCAGAGACATCCAAGTCACAACCCAAAGCCTGGACATGTCTTTCAAAGTGAGGAAATAAGAATTTTAAGTTAAGGATGTTACTTGATGACAATCAAATTATCATGTCTTATTTAATTAGTTTTAAATTTTCAGAAGTTTCCACATTATTTTAAAAACTTTGTTCCTGGGATTAGTTCTGTTAGATTCATGATTACGCCATGTCACGTCTGCTAGGGCCAGGCATACGTGCAAAACCAGCCGCCTCTCATGGAGAAAGGTGGCGTGGAGCCTGTTTTCAAAGAGAACAACATGATGGCTTATGTGGGCATCACTGAGTTTTTCTTCAGTTCTGCAGCCAGATCATTTTACGACGCTGGGATCATGAGCAAGAAGTTCGAGGTGAGAAGAGCCTCCATTAAGTTAACATGTTAAACTTGAGCAAAAAAAAAAAACTCCTTGGTAGAACCATGTTGTTTGCATTTTTTATACTTGAAACTAAAACACCTTCTGTGTTTAAAACAGATCAAATCGAAAATTGGAAAGGCCGCTTTAAGAATCATCCAGTTTTTCACAGTAAGGAGTCAGAATCATTCCAAACAAAAGACTTTTATGATATTTAATCTGAAACAGGAGGACTCCATTGCCTCCTATTTGTTACAAAACAGAAGACAAAGCTGAACCAAAATAATCTTTCTGCAGCAACCGTGGAACCTGAGAGAATCTCTTCAAACTGAATTGAAACTCATCGAGGCACCAACTATCAAGATCACCCAGGCTGATGGCATCATCTTTAACATAAGGGTGGCGGGATCAGTCATCTCTTCAGGAAGTAGAAAGCCCACTGTCCTCTCCTTATCTGTGGTATCATAACCTCACTCTCAAAGATTTAGGTGCACTGCAAAAAATTGAAATTAAAGTCATTTTTTCTTAAAATAAGTACATTTTTTCTTGAATTGAGGAGGTAAGTGAGAAAAGTTTTCAATGGAACAAGAAAATGTACATTTAAAATAGGGAAAGAAAAATCCATTGTCCTTTTTCAAGTGCATAGTATCTAATTATCTTACTTTAAGAGTAAAAATAGTCATTCCATTGGCAAATATGTCATGAAACGAGGACAGATGGACCCAGTATTCAAGGAGAGACAGTCAGTAGGAAAGTTCAAAAGATTTATTAAATGAACAACACAACTAAAAGGGGAGCTGCTAGGATCTGTGGCACGCAGCAACTGCAGGCGGGGGGGCGGGGCATCGCCCAATCTCAGATACTCTGTAGTGGGAGAAACGCAGGTAAGTGACCAAGATCATCTGACAGAAGAGGATTATCTGAGTTGGTCACTTGCCTGGTTTAACAGTCCAGTCCAAGATGTCCCCAGTAGTCCCAGAGGTCATGCAGGAAAGCCGATCCTGGAAGGGATCCAGAACAGAAAGGAACAAACAGAACAGGATCCAGATCAGGCTGGAACAGGCAGGTGGCAGGATCCAGGCTTCCAGACATCATAGAGCTCCCAGGAGGGTTCAGAGTCTGAGAGAGTTTCGAAGCGTGACCAGGTGGTCACGCACAGGAGCAGACAGGATCAGGTGCAGATGAGCAGGCTCAGTGGAAGAGGGTAGTCGA